AGGAAGATCAAAGTCCTAAAAAGTCACTGAAACATAAACTAGATAGGACCTGCATGAAAGATGAACTTGATCATTTTGTATATTTAACCCAATCCGCAGGCGTTATGTCCTTCATACCATATTTTGCACACCATTCCTCTCTAAGATGCCACCATACACCACGCATATTTCTTATCTCGTTATCCGCAACATCTTTAGACTCTATTTTTAACCAAGATGGTTGATTGATGTCCATTAGCATGTTTAACTCAACAAATTGGTCAATATTGTTACTTTGGAAAAAAATTCCAAGATTTAAAAGATATTAGCGAAAAAGATTCTAAAATTTTGTTTATTCCAACGCAACTCGTGTGCTGCTTTTTCAGAACAAACAACCAAACCTGTTTCTCTGCTGTGCACATACCTATATCCTCCAAAGGCCGTGATCATATGTGCAGAGGTATGATGTGTATATCTGATGCCTTTAATATCTTCACATTTTGAATCACAAGTAGGACAACGCGCAGTGCAACCTTCCAAGGTGCCCATTTCGCTTCGATTATTTGATCGGCATGTTCCCGAAGACACGTCTTCGATATTTCAAGATACGCCTCAGTTTTCCATTGGTTACGAAGCTTGTCAAAATTTTTCTTTGAAAATTTCGCAAACTTCTTGGGATCTTCGACATTATATTTTGACATAATTGTACGCGGTATTATCTCGAGATTTTTCGAACATAACTTTAATAGTAGACTTTTGACCGAGACTCCATACGCTGACAATTTCCGAAGTGAGGCGCGTTTCGATTTCGTTTATTGTTTGCTTACTTTCTCTAAACTTGCCATCCACTAATGTAGTGATTTTAGTCTTGCACTCTTCTTGAAAGACTCTCCGAGTAAGTATTTCGAGGTTAGTGAGATGTTCGCAAACGGTGTTATGATCCTTTTTACCGAACTTTGTGTATGCGCCTAATGGGTCGTGCCGTACTCGTTCACCCAGCTTTCTTGCAAATAATTGTAAACGTCGTCTCTAATTGTTGAATCGTGGGCTAAAAGACTTTCGGCCACCGTCTTAAGGATGTGCTTAGTTAATTACAAAGACAGATTTTTAGCAGAATGATCTAACAAGAGGTTGTGAAACTTGTTTGGAGAGCTTTGAGTTTTTCTTTTGCACAGAATGCCATTCTTCCATGTTTTGACTTAGAATTTTGCACATCTCTAGCCGAAAGTATTTCTAATAGAGATATCAATAAGAACAAGATAGTTTTATTTCAAATAGCTAGTAGGACAGTTCTAAATTTACCTCAATTAGATTAAAATCATTAATCTATGGCAAAAATTCGGTTGAGAATGGCTCAAATTTCCAACAACATTGAAAAGCCCATCGCATAACCTCTGAAGCCAACTATGCGTTTTGCCATATTCAATTCTCATAGATCTATCTATTTTGATTTCGGTGCAAATTTTATTCGTGATTTTTTTGACCTCTTCGAGAACCTTCCGAGTAGCATCGGATCTGACCGAGACAACATCTGCCAAATTATTAAGAGCGTTTTTGATTGTTCTTTTAATACCGTGAAGTTTTACAACAATTAAACTGGCAACAACATCGTAGTTCACCACGTTACCCTCTGTGGCCAATGTAGTCAAGTGACATCCAGAATTTTCTTTTAAACTTCTTTTAAAACCTGGGTTTTGATAATTTACCGTGCTCTGGCCTCCTTTGATTGCTTCATTAAATGAATTTACTAGTTGTTCAAGCTGGTTAGTCTCATGAAATTTTCGTTATTCTTCCACGTATCATTGAATAGTTGGTCACATTTATTTTGGTCACATTTATTTTGGTCACATTTCAACTCTTCCAAACTTGAGTTGAGTTGAATTTGACTTGTTGACCAAAGTCTTCCACGGCATTATTTATAAGTGCCTTTCTTTGTATTCCCGTTCCTCTTCACACCATCTTGCTTCGAGACTAAATTTGTCGGTGGCGAACATGTTGCGGATCAAATTTCGTCCCTCCTCTTTAATTCTGGCATCAAATTGATTAGCGGCCTGCTGGTTAAATTCGAGCAGCGCTTCATCGCGGTGCAATTTTTCAATCCCGGATAGATTCTTCAAAACTTGTTGTGGATTTGATCTGATTGATTATAATTCGCTTCGAGATTCTCAATGTAACTCATTATGCTTTTGCTTACTTCGTCCCGGAATGGTGTTAAATTCTTTTGAATATTTCTGACAATTGCTTGCATCACATTCCACTTTTGAATTTCTTTAAAGTCATTGAAGTGGAGGAAACTGCCCCTGGCATCAATCATCCCCATGTTGTTTTCATTTGTACAATAAAGTCTGAATATAAAAAATAGAATATATGATTGACATTTTAAAGTTTGAAAAGAACAAAGGCACACCATAGTTACCATTGACGTTATCAAACATTTTAGTATCTGGATCATAAGTTGAATCAAGCGCTGACACAAGGGCTTGGCGTAAGTTTGATACTTAATAGGAAAAGTTTCCTAAACTACATACGGTTTAATTAATAAAACTCATTTAAAATTGCATTTTCAGCAGCTAAAATTTTACATGTAAACTGATAAAGACTTGCCGCGGGTACATGTATGTTTTCAGATTCTGAGATAATCCTGCCCGTGGTCGAAAATCATCATTAAAGGGTGAGAAAGCGTTCACCAGTAGGTGTACATCCTTTTATTCTATCGTCATAAAGTTGTCTAATTCTTCTGTGCAGCCAGGAATTTGGCGAAACATTTCTTCGAGACTTGTCCGAATGTCTAAAAAAGCTGGTTTTTTGGACATCAGCTTTATCCAGTACAAAATTCAATCTCGGTTTTAATTGCTTGCTTTCAATGCGTCCAAATGATAAGAGGATATTGACGTTAAGCCCTTGGTATTAATGATGACGATTTGGGAGCACATCAAAGCAAGTATCGTGATTTTCATGTCGAAACTTGTGCGCCTGGTAATGTATTTCTGAGCTGTAGACCCCATGCCCTCTTTTTTTGCAAGGTTATAAATTTAAATCAATTCTATCTCTAATTGTTACACTTATAGTTTAAAAAAGACAAACCTGAATCCAGTATAAGGTCAATTGGCTGTCTGTTAAACACAGAAGGACGATATGACATATACATTCCCTTTGTAATATAAAATAAAATAGCCCATGTTATTATTATATTGGTTGCCACCAATGCTTATGGACACAACCACTCCAATATTACCATCGTCCAGCCGAAGTCGAAAAACCGCATTTGAAGAGGTAATTCAACAAGGTAGACTTGCCTGAGCTCTCTAAGCCGATAACAGATATGGCAAGTAGTTGACGGTTTGGATCCGTCATTATTGATGCTAGGACCTTTGATAAAAAGTTAGGATCGAGCACTCGGAGCGATAATCCATCTAACATTTGCATAGTCTATCCTTCTGTTGTCCAAGTTCGGTAGGCGTTCTCCGAGTCCTGGAGAAATGCATCATTAATAATTTGATCTTAGAAATACTACAACTCAAAATAAAACCATTTCTTACTTTATGTCAACGGAATAAAGTTTTTGAGAAACAGTAGTGTCCTCGTAACCATGACCTTTGCGAGAATAACCAATTCCCGCCAAAAATCATGGATTGAGATATCATTATCTTCAATCTGCTGCCTGATACGTTGCTGAGTGAACTCTTCGGATTGATCCAACCTTGAGAGGTCGCGTAAATGCTCTTTAAAGAAGTTATCGACGTCGCGAGCAAATGTGCGCATTTTACATATTTCGTTTTCATTAATTTCTTCTGCAAATAAGGATAGTTTGGGTGAAGGTGACGCGTTACCTATGGCAGATTATCAGATTTTAACTTGCAATTCTCGGAGATAATTCCTCCTCAGTTATGAATTTATAGTTATCCTCCAAGGTTGTCAAATGGTTCTTATCCATAAGGCTTTCAATTTCGTGTTCAGCATATGATGCAGGGAAAATAAGATGGCGCCGAAAATCACTAAGGCCATTCACAAAGCCGGCGTCCCGCATGCACTGGGCAAAAGTTCTGTGAGTCATCACGCCGGACCAAACAACAACTCGGGTAACATCAGTGATTGCATGGGAACTAGTTAAAATATTGAGCGTAAGAGATGGATACAAATATAACTCTTTCATTTCAAATAGCATTAAATATATCGGCTTTTAATTCATCTAGTTGCTGTTGACCTTTGGAAGTCTACTAAATCTTGTTTCAAGAATTTGTTCGAACAAATACTTTCGCTTATTCAATGTATCATGCGCCTTTTGACCCGTCTTTTTTTTGGGTATCCTTGTACAATACTAAAATTTTGCGTTTTTCTTCGGCATATCGATCCGTGAAAATTGTAAGGATTTGGTTTTCTAGTTCTTGGCTGATTTTCATCATCATCGAAATCGTTATCAGAGACATGTATCATTAGAAAGAAGGCATTGGGAGAAACTATTCACAATGCCATTCATAAATTGGAACGGTGTCTTGCTATTATATACTTCAGCTATTGCAACCGGTTGTCGAATGTGATTTTCAGAAATGAGATATCAATTGATCCCGGATAATGATATCTTCCCGATTTGTGCTCAAAATTGGATACAATTGTTTCAAAAAAGGAGGACTTATTCGCTAGTCGTCAAGTTAAATGAAAGGAGAAGGCAATACTTTTTTGCTATTACCAATTCACGCAATGCAGTGATCCCAGTTGATTGGTCAAAAGTATCTGAACAGGTATATTGGAGGAGACGAGAGTACTCAGTATCTTGGACATAGCTTTTCCTGGTACTTGATTTAGTAAAGCGACCAGAAAATCACGGCCAGTGCAGGTTACTAGACCAACTTGCGAAGGGAAACTGTGCGGCTAAGGATATCGATAAGGAAACAGGTCCTGCAAAATTCCGTGTGAAGAGTTTTGGAGAGCGCGTTCCACGCATTTATTTACCATTTCAACTGTCAATTCTTCTGTGATAAATTGAGTGAGTCAAAATCCAGCGGATCAGATCCGAATATAATTTCAAAAGACTCATCAAGTGTAAGCGTGTTTTCATCCTCATCAAAGACTACAAAGTATATATTAGCCACGCAGTAGATGATTCGCTCCATTAATTATTATTTTTTTTTGTGTAAGTTAAAAAGGTTTAAACAGGAATATTGCTTGCCTCTTCGTCGAGTTCGTTTTGCATGTTAAAGGATATTTAAGTCGTTACTAAAGTAATATTTGATGGGGGAAATTCTGCAAGAAAATGATTTTGTTTTCTCCCACATGTAGTTTTTTCACGCGCGTTTGATTTTTTTCTCATAAATGTTAATTAAAATGATCGCCACGAATTTTATGCTGCTGTTGTGGGTAGTGTTGCGACTTCGTTCTGTTTTGGCGAATTGGGGGATTTATGCCGCAACAATACTATGGGAAAGATCAATAGACTGAATAGTTGTTTCTTTCAGTATCTAGAGCCTGTGCCGATATCTACGGATATCGTTGATTATGTTGATTTGGGAGAGAGATTATGTGTTTCAGGTTTATTGTTGCTTTTTATGGATAAAACCCTTAAACTATTAAAAACATTAATAACAATCGTCGCTTGTTCTAGACAAAAGCCATAAACTCTTAAAAATAACCACGCAAAAACAGTTTCTCAATAATAATACGATTTAACAATGTGAATCTACACGAAAACAATACCTTTTCTGGTTTAAAGGACCTAACCAACAAGTAATACGATATCACGATTAACGTGAGGAAAAGAGGGGGAGAGTTTACAAGCAATAATTCGCTTTTAAGAATAGTTGTACAAGCTGTATTTTGTTTGGAGAAGAATTGTACACAATTTTATTCTATTGCTTGGAAAACAATTGTACGCAATGTGAATTCTGTTAGTAGCCCGTAGGCCATTCTTTTGTACATTTTTTGTATTATTACATTTTTAAAAACAAATTACTTTGACTATTAATAAAAATGTTTATAATGGGCGTTCTACCATCTATGGAAGAAACTGATGCAAGAATCGAAAACTGATGGAAATATGCTGAAGAATGATGGGAAGATGCTGAAAAATGATGAGGAGATGCTGAAAAACGATGGGTGACGCTAAAAAAAAATGATGTTAAAGGCACGGAGAACAGCGTAGTTTCGTGCTGCACACCAAAAAGGGAAGCATGTTGTTTTATCAGCATGTTGGCATGCTGGATAATCCACAAATCGCATCATTGATATTCGTGACGAGAATTTACTGCTGTTTTGCTGAAAAATCTACAGCAGCATTGTTGATAACCGGAATGGGAATTTTGCTGTAGAATCTACCGGTTTGGGAACCTGCAGCATTATTGACACATGCGTCCGATGTTAGCAATCTCTTCTGTCGTTTTTCTCTCATAAAGTCGTAATCGGGGGGGGGGAGTTTGACCGTCGGCGGTAACAGTAGATTGCAATTAGGCGAAATTGACGAGTTTGCCTGCAACAATAGGTTTGGGACAGTGAATAGATTCAATTATGTTCGTTAGTCACTAATTTCTGTGCTGATTACTACATCATTCGTTATAATCAGTCGGGAGGGATTCAGAGGGGAAATTAGGTAAGGTGATTTGGGGTATTTAGAGATTAATTTATATTGAGGCCTATAGACCTTTGTTATATACATTTTTTTTTCTAGAGTTTATTTTGTTACTTTACGATTGTTCAAGAGCGAATTTAAGAGAGAGATTAAGAATTGAAAACAAAAGTGAAATGATAATCAAAAAGTTATTGCTAGAAAGAAAAGCAGGATTTATTTGAAGCGTCAAAAAAACGTGCCATAAATTTCCAATCATAATCAATAATCTCATATTCATCCGGTAAAGTTCTTTCCTTCCGTAAAAAGTCAGCAATGGCGTATAATCATTTTCTGTATGGATTTTTTTTGCCAATTAAGTCAGTTAGATTTTGGTTCATTAGAGTTGGCTCCTTTCGCAAGTAGGGCAGGGTTTATTGGTGCATTTGAGTATTTAGGAATTTTTAATGATAATGACAGCAGCGAGCCTTTAAGCCTTCCGTGAATATTTCTACTCCTGATTAAAATATAATTATGGCAAGATAGAAAATGAAATAAATACAATAAAGGAAAAGCAAAATGATAGTAAATAAAACGCGAGATGTTGATAGAAAATAAAATGAACCGAAGATAAAAGCGATATGAAAATGGAAAACAAATTGAGACGTTGGTAGAAAACAAAGCGAAGAATATGGGATCGACGTAATTTGCTCTAACCCGTAACAGAACAAAAGAAATTCTAAATTAACTTTGTTGTTTCCTTAACGTTAACGTTAAACGTACCTCTTGTGATATCCTATCCTCAAACTTATTCTAAAATGATTCAAGCTGCCCGATGCAAATATCTACTGTATTTCACCACGTAAGATATCCCAGGGATATTGTATCTCAGTGCTCTGCGTTAACTTACGTTGTGAGCTTTGGCGGCTCAGGGTGAATTATATTTTTTCCAGATAATAAAGTAGATAACAGAAGTGACTAGTGGGATTATTAAGTGGTAAGTAAGGCTGGTTGCCTAACTGTTTGATAAAGTAAGAACTAAGTTACAGCTAAAAAAAATTATGTCCAAGTCGTATTTTCAGCAAAAATTTTGAAAAACCAGATTTGTCCACAGCCCTAGTGATAAAAGTAGTTTGTGATGATTTGTTCAAGATTGTGACAGATGATGAACAAACATAGATTTACATGCAATATCTAAAGGATGGTGTAAATTATGATTGAAAAATGGTGGGATCCTATTCCAGAGAGCAAACCGATTGTTGAATAACTTGATGACTTTATCTACTCCATCAATGAAGAGGAATAATAATTCAAACTTATTACATGTACGTAGTACGTATAAGTTACATAACGATAATGATGTACGCAGCGTTGTCACTTTACTATGTCCAGTAACCAGAAGTTACTGGACTGGACCATATTGGACTTGTAAAATCACTAAGTCCAGTGGTCCAGTGGCGCAGTATTGGACTATGTCCAGTTGACAACACTGACTACATGTACATAATTAGGGTAACATATGTCAATCATTAATTGAGGATTTTTTCCAGGATCTGCGGAACATCACAAGGCTTCGGAAAATTTACTTTATTTTTAAATGCACTACTACTACGTACATCCAGTGTTGTCAACTGGACATAGTCCAATACTGCGCCACTGGACCACTGGACTTAGTGATTTTACAAGTCCAATATGGTCCAGTCCAGTAACTTCTGGTTACTGGACATAGTAAAGTGACAACGCTGCATGTAGTACATGGGCAATGCCGGGCGTTCGGATGCTTATGGTCGCTACATGTATATGTATATCATTGTAACGAACATTGCAAGTTAACGATGCAATAAATGAAAATGGCAACATGAAAATACGTAAAATACATGTATATTGTCAATCACATGTAACAATACGCTAGGACTAAGGACGTGACAAAGTTGTTTTTATATTGTAACCATTTTAGAAGAATAATAGCGATAGTATATGCGTAAACACAATAATAATAATAAGCAATAGAAACCGCTTTTAGTCGTTGTGCTTTACTTCTGAACAATTTTTATTATTGTTAACATTAATTTAATTAACCTATTTTCATATTGGTTACTTTATTGGAAGTGTTTCATAATGAAGTTGTTCTTTTCGAACTATCTTCATTCTCGTTAATTTCATTTGTTTTGCAATCCAAAAGAAAAGATAGTAACGAATTAATGAAGTGAATAAAAAATAATATTAATATAATTTTAACTTCGTTTGGAATAAACAACTGATACTTGTCAACCTTAAACATTCGATATAGATATGAATTTAATTAATATCGACATATTATTTACACTTAGCGTTAGAAATAAAATGTAACCTGTATCTGTTGGAATTGAAATTAATTCGTAGTAAAGATTCAACTGCATTTGAATGAATTTGTTGTTTTTTGTTCGTGTTCGTCGAAATGCTTTTTTCAATTCCATCTCCTCGTCAAGTATTTTTTTTTTGTTTCTGCTTTTCTAGTTTACCAACTCCTTAACTTCATATAATTTCTTTTGTCTGGTTTAAAACAATATTTAAGTTCGTATAATTTCTGCTTTCCTGGTTTAAGATACTCTTTAATTTCATATGTTTTAGGATATTCAAAAGAATCGTAGTACTGAAAATGCAAACTACATGTATTCATATCTGTAATAGCTTCGTCAATAGAGTAGAGGTACTAGATAACGATAAACCACGCGATGCCAGAGATATCAGTAAGTATGATACTTGCTGATATCTCTGGCATCGCGTGGTTTATCGTTATCTAGTGCCTCTACTCGTGTAATTTATAACGGATTACAAGGGTTTTGCAGGAGGAAACACCTGTCATTTTACAGTGAGAATTTTTCATAGGGATTAAATCTTGTACAGTTTCTGATAAAATAAAAGGTCCACCATTTTTTGTGTGTTCGGAACTATTTTTAACGTCTGGTACAGTAATCATGAAAAAGTTGATATTTATCATTTTAAGACAAACCAATTAATTCATTTAACGTTAATGTATAAATGAATAATAGTATTGTTGATTTTATCAATTATAATTCAAGTTAAACAAACCAATCCATTTAACGTTAATGTATAAATGAATAGTATCAAATCAACTTATTTATTGTTAAGGATTCAACACATACATTAGTTCCTCCGATTTTTTAGAAAAGATAATTTTTGGTTATATGGATATAATATTTTGCGCTTCTATTAATTCCAATTACTATTCAATATATCTTGTTACTACCGAGTTTTCTCTTGCTCAATATCGTCTGTTTGTTTTATAAAAAGTTGACTTCCGAAAGCAAAAGCTATTTTCTAAAAAGTGGTAAATATACTAGCGATTTGTTCTAAAAAAGAGGTTTGCCTATATAATTTCGCTTATCTTATTTCGCGACGTTATTGAGAAAAAAATGAATGAAATTGCTAATGCTTGCAGGCCGTGCGACCTTTTTTTCCGATATCTAACATATGTCTGTTATTTTTTCTCACGATTTCTAATTTATCGTTTTCCCTCCTTTCCAAGCACTTGTCCACTTTTCTAAACTATGAGTGATTGGTATTGGATTATTTCAGAAACAGGATACGTGCTCGATGTTTGCTGTCGAGAAAAAAATCCAGGAACCTCTGTAGTCTTGTATACTCTTAATAATCAACTTGTAAGCGTAAAAATCAAACTTAAATTATGAATTTAAATATATTCTATTTTAAGTTAAAATATACTCTATAAATTATCTCAGCGTCCTTTCCATCAATTGTGGAAAATTGAAGATAAATACATTGTTAGTAAGGACACCGGATTTGTCTTGACACTAAGCACTTGTAAGTGATTTAAGTTGTTTTTAAAATATGGACTTTCTGTAATAAATTCTTTTAATTTTTAATTAATAATATGAAGCTCCGATTAATGGTAGCTATTTTTATTTTTGGGTTTATTTTTTCATTAAATTATCAAGCAATAATTGTTCTAATTATCCTATCGATATCAATATTCTTTTTTTAGATCCAACTTTTGTTGTGAAACCAAGGGATTCAAAAGATAGAGGACAACTATGGAATTATGACCCGAATAATTTAACATTAACTAGTGGCCTACCATTCTATGTTGTTACAGCGGTAAATCAATATCAATATGCAATGTTTATTTTTTGCTCTTTGATATTAAAGTTTATTATTTTTTTTATAGATACAGAATACTGCCAATATTGTTTTATGTAATCCGAAGGCTCTTGGAGTGAAACATCTCGAAAATCCGGTCCCAAAGACCCAAAAATGGGTCTTTGTTAAATGGTCAGAAATGTATCATGAAGAGTGAAAACCGTTTAATATAATGAAATATATCTATTTTCTGTATCGGTATTTCGTGTATAATTAAATAAAATATACATAAAAGCACAATATACATGTCGTATTCAATTACGAAATACAAGGCACTCTCGATATAGTGAAGTCATCGAGTCCAGATACAAATAAGCCAATCTTCACTATATTAAGAGTTCACTATATCGAGAGTGTCTTGTAATATTCATAGGGAAGGAATTTGACAATTGTATTGCATGTAGTACATTTATTTATGGAATTATTCCCAGAGCACTAGCGAGAGCAAATGTAAATTGGAAATATTGGATGCATTAGTAATTTTTAGTAGTCTGTATTGTACATATATCAAATCGTAAGCGACCTTTTTCATCTATTCGGGTCTTAAAGACGAATTATTTTTCATGCATGTATGACACAGCAAGATGTAATGAAAAGTAGACCTCAGTGCCAATTACATCTTCAAAGGATACTCCGAGTCTGAAATATTCCATAGGATTACCAGTTTCTGCATATTTTTCTATACATTCAAAAATTTCTGTTCTCATAAAGAGGTGTTCTTATATACAGTCCGCACGGAAATAATGGCGGTCAAATTTATTTAAAAATTCGATACATTTATTAATAAATGCTATACAAAAAATTATTTTTGGAATGACTTTGAGTAACATCCGTTTATATGACATTAGTACCGGGTATGCCCACCTTCCGCATCAATACAAGCTTGAACATGTTTGGCATACTACTGATGCAGTTCATCCTCAGAAAGATTCTCCCACTCCTCCATAACCAATGCAATCTCTTGTGGCACACTTTCTTTTTGTGCCACTATTTATTTTACATTTCATTCAAGAGAAGCCCAAACAAACATTTTCAATCGGATTAAGATCGGGACTATACGACGGCCAAGGAATAACGCGTTTCAGGAGACGGGCTTTGAAAACATTCTGGACATCCTTTGAAATGTGTTTCGGGTCGTTGTCCTGCTGAAAAATGCAGTGCCGATGACAATAAATGCTAAGTTGCATTATCGTATAAATGATTATTGAGAATTTCGGAGTACCGATCCATATTTTGTGTAAATGTGCACATTCCGGCTTTGTCACATGCACAAAACACCCCCACATGTGAAGATTAAACGAGTGCACCATTGGTGCAACAGTTTTTCCATGCCAAACAGATATTCAGAAATGATTGGAAGGTTGTCTCGTCAGAAAACACAACGTGATTGTTAACCCATTGAAGTCTGCTCTCTTTAGCTTGTTGGGTGAGAAGAGGGGCATATCTTGGCAAAGCAGCAACACAACCGGTCCTAAAAGCTCGTCACGAAAAGTTTGAACTCAGATTTGAAATTCTGAGTGCGTTTCTTCAAGTTGTGCCTTTATTCAGCTGCAATAAGAAAATGATTTCCATTTATGAGTTTGCCGATTTGGCGACGCATTACAGTGAAATTTTTCGCGGACGACCAGGAGAATGATTAATTTGGATTTTGTCATTTTCTCGAAGAGCAGTAACATAACATTCACAGGGAGCGAAGTGGGATGTCTATTCAAGTTTTTTTAACGAAACTAAATCAACGACATCAACCATATCGATCACGATGTCAAATGTGAATGCAAAAATGCAACTACTTATCTTCATTTAACGGAAATGAATGGATAAAAATCAAAATAATTTTATTTGATTTTAGTGAATTTTCCAATAAAAAAGTTGTTGGATTTGGAGCGTTTGGTGAAGTTTATAGAGCAGAAGTGAAAAACGAAGGTTTGGCTGTAGCTTTAAAATGTCTATCTAAATGACGAGAAACATGCCGAAGAAATAAATAAGAAACTTATCAAAGCGGTATTAAAATACTTATTATGTTTAACCATAACAAAAACATAATTATAACTTCATAATTACATAATAGAAATTTACTCAAAATACATGATTGTTATGAAGTATGCTGATGACGGAACTCTTAAAAATTATTTATACAAATTTTTGGACTTGATTAGTAATGACAGGTTAAACTTAGCTAAGCAACTTGTGCAAGGATTAAAGAGCATACATAACGATAACGATATATAACGATAACGAAATTGGATGTTACAAAATTGCTAATTTTTCCGATCGCCGAGCTTGTCTGAACACATTTAATTTCTTTTTAACTGATT